GGTAGGGTAACAAGGGAACGTGTTCAGTGCAGATCAGTGAGTAAGCACAAGCCCGCCTTGTTTCAGTACCTATGCTTAAACTGCCCCCTGTATATGAAGTATTTAATAACAAATTATCAATCTTTTCATTATGAAAATCAGTTTAACTAGTGCAAAGCCATATATATATTGAAGCAGGCTCTTAGTGTGCCTTTAACAGGGTACAGTCTTGTTTTTCCTGATCTTGCAAGTGTTCTGCCTTTGACAGTTCCAGCTTTTACAGGTTTTACTGTACAAAGTTGAAAGGATACTATACTCACTGTGTATATTCAGCAGTTACCAGGATTTACCACACTTGCTTTATCTCCCCACTTTCTCTTTTTCTGATGAAATATTTTAAAGCAAATCCTAGATATCATTTCTATCTTACATGCTTAAGTATTCACCTCTAAAATATACGGACTCTCTTATAACCACAGTGTCATTATCACACATCACAAAATTAAGACTACTTTGTTGTTATGTGCCATCGAGTCGGACCCGACTCATAGCGACCCCTCCTTGGGTTTTCGAGGCAGTATCACTACAGAAGTAGATTGCCCCATCTTCCTTCTGAGGAGTGGCTGGTGGGTTTAAACCGCTAGCCTTCTGGTTAGCAGTCAAGTGCCTTAGGCACTATACTACCAGAGCTCCCTACTCAATATAATCTAATACCTAGGCCATATTGAAATTTCTCCAATTTCCTCAAAAATGTCTACTTACAGTTGGTTATTCAAAACAAAATCCAAATAAGATTTATACATTGTAAGCGGGTGTTACGTCTTTTACATTCCTTTCATTCTTGCTGCTGTTGTCTTATGTTTCTTTTTTCATATCATTGATTTGTTGAAGAAATTGGTGGGTCAGTTGTTTTGTGGAATCTACCACTTTATAGATTTGTCTGTTAAATAATTCCTCTGTTCCTCATATTTCCTATTAACTGGAAGTTTTCTTGAAGGAATGATTAGATTCAGTTCAACCTTTTTATGAAATGGAGGAATAGAGTGTACTTGAGGAATAAAGTATACTTGAGGCTTCTCTGAGAATCAAGACTACACAATCTAGTTTCCTTTGTACCTATAGAGCTTTTCTGTGACCCTGAAGACTGTAGGAAACAGTGACACTAGGTGGAACTCTATATCCCCTTTGTCAACAGGACTCTTATTTTCTCTGACTTAGCTTTTATTGTCTCCACAGTGTTCTCCTGAATTGGGATTTCTCCACCACATTACCACCTATGCCTAATCCTACTCATGAAGTATCAGAAAAAACTCCATCAGAAGACCATTTACCTCAGGCTGCTTCTTATCCTCCAAGGACAAGGAGTCTTAACAAAAATGACTTTTGTTCCTCAGGCCAGGGTAAGGTCTGTATAACCAGGGGAGCCTTGGCCATGAAGGGAGCCTCAGCTCCAGGCACCTGCTTCACTATGAGCCCCAAGTCTGCTAGCATCCAGGAAAGGGAGAGAGTGGGTAAGCAGCCCCGTCAGAAGGTGTCCCAGGTCTCAGCATCTCTGAGCCAACCGGCTGATAAGCTAAAGCCAGGGAATGACCCAGAGGCCCTCACCCCTACCTCTCAGAGCAGAATGGCTAAGGGATTAGCAGGATATGGCTACATGCAAGCCAAGAGACAAAAAGAAGGGAACCTTGTGACTCACAAGGCTGCCAAGGGAGCCTGTCGCAGTTCCTCACATTCCCGTGGACCCATGCAGACATCTGGGCATGGAAAGGCATCCAAGACTTTTCGGGCAGAATCCAAACCAATATCTTCAAGCAGGGCATCAAAGAGGCAGCAGAGGGTGCTAGCATCTAGGGTCAGAGATGCTGCCAAGAAGTCCTCTCATTTGCCTCATGGGAGTCCTTTAAAGAGGCAGCACAGTGCAGGGGACCCAGACATTATGGCCCCACTCATGGACTCCAACCCCATCATGGGTTATGCAGGAGAAAACAACAATGATTTATCTGACACAAACAGTGATTACTCTGTGGATTCTCTCTCCTGTGTCTGTGCCAAAGTCCCAGTGGAGCTTCTGAAGCCAGAGGACCCCCAGGAGATGAAGCCAGAGGACCCCCAGGAGGTGAAGCCAGATCTCCCAGAGCTAGAGAACTCTGAAAGTGATGACAGCCAAATATCTGAGGACTCACTGGCTGAGAGGGGATATCAAACTCAAAAAGACAGTCCTGACAGCAGTCATCCCACCAATAGCCCTAACTACCACAGGGCTGGAACGAGAGCCTCTGTGAGGGGTTTCACTGTACTCTCAGACAGTGGACAACTTGCTCAAGCTCACAAGAGCTTTTCCTTGGACAGTCTGATTGATGCTGAGGAAGAATTAGGGGAAGATCAAAAGGAAGAGCTTTTACTTGGTTCACCTGAAGAGATGTCCACAGAGACTTTTTGGCACCTGCAGAACTCCAGTATGTCTGCAGTAGACCAGGAGGCAAGGAGCAATTCATCTTACCTTGATCCTCCAGTCCAGCTACATTGTGGGCAGCCAGAGTCAGCAGTGGAACCATATTACTCTGAAAAAGCCAGCTCTCTCCCAGGCACGCTGTTGTCCAGAGGGAGCCCGCTGATGTCCATGGATTCCTGGTTTACCTGCGACTCAAAGATCAACCCCAGCAACCCTCCAGGAACAGTGGGTTCTTTATGTCCAAGTCCCGATGTCCAGGAATTTCAGCATTGTGGTTGTGAGAAGCCTGAGTACTGGCTAAATATGGAAGAACAGAAGCCCTCAGGGGCAGAAGCAGTCCTGCCATATAGCTTCAAAGTGCTCCACGGTGGTACTGAGCTATTAGACAACACAAGAGATGGGTCCACAACTCCTGCTTCAGATACATCCAAACTGTCACTCTGTGGGACTCACAGAGGAGCTGACAGCACAGACGTCACTGACAAAGACCAGCAGGACACCTCTGAAGCATCAAACAGCTCTAGTGTATCCAATGTGTTGGCTGCCTCTGCTGCCTCCCTCACTCTTCTAGGCAGTGCCTCTGAAAGGGACTGGTCTGCCCTTCAGCAAAAGTACCTCCTTGAACTGTCTCATCCTGTTTTGGAAGCCAGAGGAGAGTTCAGGCCAGCTTTCCCTTGCCTTGAGGAAGACTCTGGTTCCCTGGCCCAAGCTTCTGGCAGAGGAGGAGATTCCCTATTGCCAGTTGGTCCTGGGATATCGAACAATCTAAATTTCAACAACTTTTCCACCCAGATAGCGAAAAGTAGACATCTGAGAGCAGAGAAAGAACAGGGCAGTTTGAGTGTCAAGTTAGAAGGTACTTCAGATTTCTTTAGAAATAGTGAGAAAAAGGTGAATCTTAATGAAACTTCTTCAGCGGACTTAGAATCACTGGCTTCTGAAACTACAAATGCACAAGTTTTTACAGCAGAGAGCAAGATACCAAATCCAGTGATAGAAACACATGAAGTCAAGCAGAAAAACTTGGAAGGGTACTCTCAAGAAAGCAGGAAACCTGGACCAATGATTTCCTCTGATGAATATTTCTTCCGAAAGAACCCTTGTCACAGTAATGGCATCACAGCTACCAAAGAACACCATTGGCCCCAAGGCTGGATGCCTGTCATGAAGAATACTGCAGGCCAGCCAGGGCAACCAAGGTACAACAGCCACCACCTCCTCCAGGAAGGGAAGGCATATTGCCAGGAGAGTTCCACAGACATAGATATTTCCTTTGCCTTTCCATCAGATCCAGAGCTGTACCTACACTCTGCTCCCTGGGATCTGTTTTCATCTTCCTTACAGCCACCTCCTTTAGAAACATTCTATGTGACCAAAAGCAGGGATGCCCTGACAGAAACGGCCCTGGAGATTCCAGCTTGCAGAAAAGTAGGGGTGCTTTCTCCACCCCTCAGAGAAGCCTGGAGCTCCAGTCATGACCACCAAATCCCCTGTGATACTTATTTGAAGAGTAGTGTGCCAGTGCTCTTACAAAATCAAAGTTCCAAGTTTGCCTCATCTCAGCAGGTCACAGCAGAGAGGCCAGTTGATCTGAACCCTAGGGAGATTTTGGGAGAAATAGGGAAATGTCTTGGTAATAGTAAAAAAGAAAGCCATAATTCAGTTTATTTTTCTGTTGCTCAGAACAGACATCTTTTCTCTTCTGTCAGCCCAAAAGTATGTGAATTTGAAAATCAAGTTGGAATTTTAAATAAAAAACACAGTCTTCGAGCACTCAGGATGGGAGACAAGGCCACTACTCAGTCCTGCTGCAGTGTTTCCTCAAACAGTTCTGCTTCTTTAAAGCCTTTCTTTGTTTGTGAATCTGGGGAAGCAGCACAGGGTCAGGATGCAGCCCAGAATGCAGTCCTAAGGCAGAGCCAGGCCTCTGATGTGAAGAGAAAGTTTCCTTCTGGGGCCAGTTCTGATTTCATTTGTAAAACCATTAATTTAGGCCACGAGAAGAATTTGTTAGGAGAAACCACTGCTTCCTTGAAGGCCAGCAGCCCAGTGATTGTTGCCCAGAATGAGAGCCCAACGCACAAGTGGGAAGGGAAGAATGAAACTGGGCTTCTTGGAAAAGGTGTCCATCCTAAAGACAGCTCAGATGAGTTTAAGCTTCCAGGGGCAGACGCTGCATTTGAAAGATGCCAGACAGTTCCATCCTGTCAGGAAAGAAACCTCAGTGTATGCAAAAGACCTGGAAAGTCACAAGAGAGGACAAAGGAAGAACTTTCTGGGAAAAAAAAGAATAAAAGGGTTAATCATGATGATGAAATGGCGAGGCTAATTAGGAGTATAATGCAGCTAGAACATAGCATCTTGGAAATCGAATCCAAGCAGAATAAGCAGCTCCATGCTTCCCACACATTGGAAGTCAGTAAAGAGATTGTATTCCAGGACCAGGAGAAAGCTGACCATGTCCTGAGGCCAGCTATCCCTGGAGACCATTTGTCCTTCAAGGATCAGTCATTTTCTTTAAAACAGCATGACAATGTTGTCTTGAGGGATAGTGAGGTCAGAGAAATGAAGGAGCTTAGCAGTTGCATTGAGAAGGATCCCCAGGTACAGAGTCCCTTCAAGACAAGGCAGTGTATAGAAGAGCTTAGATTGGTGAGAGAGCCCACTCACCCATCTGCATTAGAAAGTTCTGCCAGGGACACTTGGGATTATTTAGGGACATGTGTGCCTCACAGAGAGCCCACCAACACTTCTCTTCACCCAAAGATAACATTGCCATTACAGCCCAGGCAAGAGAGGTCTGAAAATGAGGGTGAGTTGTTAAACACAGCAGCTATGCCCAAAGGGAAGCCTCATGACTTGGGAAGTGTTGAGGAATTGGCGACTCTGCATGGTTTCCAGAAAAACCAAGTTGCTGAACACATAAACAGTTCCAACCAAAAGGAGCTAAAAATTCAAAGCAGAATTGAAGAAATGGCTATCCAAACGGGAGGGAGCCTACAGGAGGAAAATAAAATAATCTCATCAACTCAGAAATTTCCTAGTCCAAGTCTGCTTTGTATGAGCAGATTTTTCAGCCAGGAGACTGTCTGCCCATTGCTGAGCCAGACAGATTCTTCTATAGTTTCTTCTCAGGAAGACCTGACTAAGATCTTGCCCTTGAATTCTTCAAGATTACCAAAGAGCTATTTCTATGCACCTGAATCTATAGGCATCTTTTCAGTTGACTATGTGCTGGATCCCACCATGTTTAAAATTCATGACAGCCCCTTGGTAGCTAGAGTCAGGTATCAGGACCAGAGTGGAGACACCAGAAGTCATAGCCCTCAGGAGCATGTTAGTGGGATCACCTCCGTGGCACACTCTGCTTGGTATGGATCTGCAGTCTCCATGGCCATAGGATCGCATAGTCAGTCTGGTATACCAGAGAGCATTTCCCTTGGGAAAGAGGGAAGACTATCAGCAAGAATCACTTTTCAAGACCAGGGAGGGGGCCTAAGAAGCACCTTGAGTACTAGGGAGGATTTTGCTCCTGAAACAGAGGCAGCTACACAAAAAGAAGTAAAAAGAGCCAGTCCCCTGAACAGGATGTCTAGCCAGCTTAGAAAGAGAGTCAGCAGCCCCTTAGAAGAGGATGACTTCCAAGATAGAGAGGCAAATCAGAAAGCAGAGAATGATGCCAAAGACCTCAGTCTTACCAGTGACACCTTCTCAGCACCTGCTTCCCTGACAGAAGTACCCAGTCCAAAGCCCAGGATGTGGGAGCCCTCTTCATCCTTCTGCCTCGCTCTGTTGGAGGAGGTCAGACAGGCAAAGGCCCAGGGAAAACAGCTTAATGACTTTGTGGCTAGAAGAACAGTCCTTCCTTACCATGAAACTTTATTAGAACCTGAATGTTTTTCAAGGGTCTCTGGGAGGCTTCAGTATAAACAAATGGACCAGTCAGTGTCATACAGAACCAGAAATGAAGGTAAAACACAGGGATTTCATGTGGCACCTCTCTCTGCTGAACCAGAACATCTATTAACTGAGAGGAAAGTCCTTCAGGCCCCACCCCACTTTGTAGAGAACTTCCAACTTCTGCCCAACTCCAAAACTCACAGAGGGACCTGGCTTCCCTCACAGGTTTCCTCCCTTGCTGCCCCTATTCTAGGCAAAAGCCATTGCACTGGAGAGCTGAGACATTTCCTAGGAGTAAGTGGACAGTGTATAAGTCACTGTAGTTCTCCTGAAGTCATAGAGAAAAAGAAAGAAGCAAGCAGAAGAACTTCCTCTCCTGGTCCTTTGGGCTTACACTGTCTTCTTTCTTCATCAGCTGTAGAGGAGGACAGGAGGGTAGAACCAGAGAAAGTGGTGCCTGCCTTATCTTCTCAGGCCCCCTCTGATGACCCTGAAGTGATTCCATATGTACCAAGTCGATTAGCCACTTGTGAGACCACAGATGGCCCACTTCCAGGGGAGAGCTGCTCAGAGCACTGGGAACTTAGCCCTATAGATACCACATATGGAGGTGGTTTAGAGAACTTCTTAGTGACTACACAGGCAGGAAAAACAACCTGTTTTGAAAGTCAGTCTGTGCTCTTTGATGTTCAGAGTTCTGCAAGTAGTCTTTCAGGACCTAAGCAAGACCACATCCAATACCTTGAGTCTTCCAAAGGCTTAGAAGAAAGGAGGGCAAGTTCCAAACAAGGTATCCTCAGACCTGGAGTCTTGAGAAGGGTTGAACTTGAAGATCCTTCACAGCAGTGTGTGAACTGGAAGGGGAATGTTGGGTCTGAGCTGAAAGAAGCCTGGAGGTCTGGCAGCAGGTACCCTGAGCCAAGTTCATTGCCAGATCAAAGACCTAGTCCAGATCCTGGAGATGCTGGAGAGAGGGCCCCATCCAGATGCCCAGAGGAAACTTTAGATCACATTGTCTCAGGGAGCATTGAAGGCAGCAGGACTCTCAGCTCATCTTGGGGACCAGAAGAGAGCAGAGCTCTTTCTTCCTTGCAGCTGTGCAGTTTGCAACATGTTGCTTCTCATACTTGTGCTCCCCATTCCTCCACTTTCCTGTGTTATGGAGGTGATAACCTGGAGAAGAGGACTTTCAAGACTGCCCCAAACACTGTGCACTCACCGTGCATGGTACCTTCCATGGCCTGTGGCATGGATGAGAGAGGAACAGGCCATTCCAGGGAACCTGATGTGCTCTTGTCACATGGCCTCAAGCCCAAGGGCATGAATATGGAGTTAGGGCCAACGGATTGCAGCACTCTGGAGCCCTCAGTGATAGATACTGTCTTTTCTCTGTCTCAAGGATGCAGCTCTTCTTTGGCCCCTGATATGAGGACAGGTTCCCTTGGTCACTCAACTGCTAAGGGAAACTCAAAGTCAGTAGGGGATCCTGAGAGAAATTCTGTTGAATGGAAACCCAGCACAGAGTTTGAGGCTGTCCCTCCTGTAGGCATGTGCTCTGAGCCACTGAGGAAGTTTCAGGACAGCTGTGCAGGTGGTGAGAACTCACGAGTGTCTCAAACCAAGACAAAATTGCCTACAATAAATGGAGGACTGAATGCCCAGAATATACGTGAAGGATCTGTTGAGAATGAGCTGGTGGTGGAACCACAGAATGGATATTTAGAAAATACCTTCAGATGTCTTCTAGAAAAGCTACAACTTTCCAGTGAGTCCGGGGATCACAAGTTTGTAACAGGGTTAAAACACGTCCAAAGTACCCAGGTTGACAGTCCCTGGGAGGAGGAAGAGCAGCAGAGAGACCCTATCCAGGATGAGAATCCCCCATCTTCAGATGAAAATGGCTTGGATGATCAGAATAGAGATGCCAGGACAGAGGAGGAGGCTCTGTCCGAGCCAGAGAGGTTCTCATTAGACTTTGAAGACGCATCCACTGTGCGTTTGGAGCAAAGAGGGCCACAGCCTCCCGCCCAGAAGCCATGCCAGCCCTGCTCTGGTAGGAAACAGTTGTCTTCCCATCATCGGGACTCACCTCCTGTGATTGCAATCTTCTCTGGCCCCAAACACTCCCTAAGGGCTCCTCCCAGACCACAGTTCTCTGTGGTCAGCTCTTCTCGGTCTCTTCAGGAGCTGAACTTGAGTGTGGAGCCTCCTTCCCCCACTGATGAAGATATACAAGGACCTAACAGATTATGGAACTCACATCCCAAGGACTGCTGCTTAGAAGAGTTGGTGTCAAGAACTTCTCTGAAAGCTGAGGATAGCTGTCAGAAAGCCTCATCTAATTTGGATAGTAAGACTGCTGATCACCGGCCCTTGAAACCTGCCACCCTGCCTTACCCAACATCTTCTGCTCTATCGGGCAACCCTACTTCAGACTTTATGGCCAGCTGGACGCCTGGGACTCTGGAGCAGGCCCCAGAGGGGAGGCCAGAGAAAGTGGGTGGTCAGGCCCAGCCAGAAGAGTGTCATTCTGGCTCAGACAAAAGAATGTTGCACTTTGACTCCAGTGACATCAATCCCTATATCCTGCCCTGCCATCCAGAGGGGCCTGGGCGCATTGGCTGGAAGCAATATGTGTTTGGCAGTGCAGTTGATGTCTCCTGCAGACAGACACCCCAGGGCCTAACACCACCAAATGTGGCCCGGTGCTCCAGCATGGACAATGGCCTAGACGACCAGAACTCTCCCTTCCACTCCCACCTCAGCACCTATGCCAATGCTTGGGACCTGTCAAGCACACACAGCAGCACTGAGAATGCTCGGGCTTCAAATGAAACTTCGGAAGTTTGGGGTTCCTTGTTTGCCTTGGGGGACCCCCACACCGTGACAGACCTTGTAGGAGCAGACAAGAAGTCCCAGTTCAAGGACCCCCCTGATGAAGCAGGCCTGAGGAGCAAGCCCCCCTTTGCTGGAGGAAGTGCTGCAGGTCCAGTGGATGAAATTCTGCTGTATCCATCAGCTGCAGACCACACTGTCGGGCAGGTCAGAATGGGCACCTTTGAGCGAGGCACACAGACCCTGGGCTGCACTGACATCTCATCTGCCACACCAGAAGCCAGTACAATGTCAGTCTCTCATCTGGCCTCATGGACCAGTATGCAAAACCTGTCTCTCCACCTCTCACGGCTTCTGCACAGTACTTCGGAGCTGCTGGGAAGTCTCTCCCAGCCAAGTGTGGCTGAAAAGGAACAAAACACCAAGAAGGAGCCCCGAGGTGAGGCCCCACAGGCCCTTAGGATGGACAGCTGTACTCAGACTACTATGGATAAGGGCAGCCAGACTGACCTGTCCTCACCACCTGTGCACTTCCAGGCACCAGAGGCCAACCCTCAGAAAGTCAATGTGATCCTTGAAGTGCTAGGCTCAGATACCTTGTCTCAAAAGAAGGGCAATGTCCCAGTGGCAGTTGAGAAGAGAGAAGCAGAAGAAACAGCATGGAAAACAGCAGGGTCCCCAGATCTTCAGGAAGAAAGCATCCACTGCAGGCCCCAGAGGCCTCTAGTACCTTCATCCCATCTGAGGTTTCTGAAAGACCCCCTTGGACAGAAGCTGCCTTCTGTGAGCTCTCAAGATTCTGTCGATGCATACCTGCCTCCTCACTACCAACCAGAGACATCGTCTTGCCTGGTTGTCAGCAGCCCTAGTCTCAGCATCTCTCACTCCCCAGGGCTCTTTCCCAATGCTGCAGAGTCTGTTGGTGAGCCTAAGATCCAGAAGGAGAAGCAGGGCCTCACAAGTGCCTTGCTGGTAGACAGGGCCTCTTCCCCAATCCTCACACTTAGTGCCAGTGCCCAGGGGTCGAGTCTCCCCCCAGGCTCTTCATCTCCCTCAGCTCAGCCTCTTGAAGGCCATCAAAAGCTTGAGTCTAGCTCAGACCTCCCTCTTGACACCCCAGTATCTCCAATGGATGATGATTCCCAACCCAATGGTGAGTTAGATGACTCCCAAAGACCTGACACTCTGTGTGGAGAAGGCAGAAACGATGGGAGGTCCTTCCTAGAGTTGAGCTCATTAGGCAGTCCACAGCAACGTCCAGAACTCCAAGTTAGTGTTTTAGGACAGCCCCCTCAGCATCTCCAGCCCAGGACCACCCAGGTAGTACCCACCTGGGAACAGAGGAACACACTGCCACCTCCACCAGTGAGGAGGAGCAGCAGCTGGAGGCTGGCCAAGAGCTTAGCTCATGGGGAGATGGCGTCCTCAGAGTGTGACTCACGGAGCAGCAGGGGGCCAACTCCATGGCAAAGCAGGATGGAAAATGGGGCTGAGGGTTCAGCATGTCTAGTGGAGTCACAACCCACTCTGGATGTTTCCTCTCCATGGGGAGACATCAGGCCCCTCAGCCCCTGCCTGGTCTCTGAGTTGACTGATACTACAGGGATCCAGGATTCCATCTTGGGTCCAGTTGGGGCCTGCCAACCTAAAGGCCTGCTGAGCCTCACTTCCCAGTTGTGCATTGCCCCTGAGCCCTCACCCCATAGCCTGAGGGACCTCCCAGTGCATAACAAATTCAGTAACTGGTGTGGGGTTCAGGATGACTCTCCTGGGGGGCTGGCTGTGACCAAAGAATTGGGGATCAGATGTGATCTCTGCTCTGGAGACCAGGGAGAGAGGCCCCCCCATGTTCCTGAGGACCAAAGCCTGGCTCCCGAGTGGCCCCCAAGGGAGCAGATCCCCCTGCAAGTTGGGGCCCAGAACCTCTCTCTCAGCATGGAACTGACAGAAGCGAAGCTGCACCACGGCTTTGGAAAGGCAGATGCCCTGCTGCAGGTGCTGCAGAGTGGGACAGGGGAGGCGCTTGCTGCTGACGAACCAGTGTTCTCCACCTGGGAGGAGCGCTATACCTTGTAAGGCCCCCACCTGGGGTGGGAGGGTAGGGGTGGGCTTAGAGGAAGGATCCTGAGAAAGCTACTGCCCGGCTGTCCCCTCACCCCTTGCCCAGCTCTGGGATCTTCCAGGGATCAGATGGGTCTTAAGATGGGGAAGGGCATTCAGGGCTACCTTTAGTGAATCCATCATATTTTGTCTTAGACAAAAAAAAGCCATCCAGACCCTCCGTAGGGAGCGGGCCGAACGACTTCAGAACTTCTGCCGAACACGAAGTCTCAGCCCCCAGAAACAACTGAGCCTCTTGCCCAACATGGATTTCCCGACCCGGGATCTTGACTTACCCAGCCGACGCCGAGAGTACCTGCAGAAACTGAGGAAGGATGTTGTGGAGACCACCAGGCAAGGGGTCACCCAGAACCCTGCAGGGAGCAGGCTGTGTGTTGGGTGAGGGGACTGGGGAGACGGGTGGGAGATTTTAGCATCCTGGAGAGCAGAAGCTGCGGCGTCCTTTGAAGGGAGGGATTCCAGGAATCTGTGCTATAGCCCTGTGGACAAGCGGGAGGGGAAGTGGACCACTAGTCATCTAGAAAAGAGGCTGCATTAGGGAGCAGAGGTGAGAGGTGGCTGGGCAGAGAGAAGTCACGGGAAAGGGAACCATAGCTCTGACAAGCTATTTAAGAGTGCAGGCCTGGCCCTCAGACTGGCTTGTGCTCCTGTTCAGCATCTTCTCTTGAGGATGTAAAACTGAATTCTACAACTCTGTGGGCAAAGGGAAGCTGGGTCCTTTGAGAAAGTAGTGTTGAGCCAAGCTGAAGTATGCAGGCCAGGGCCGTCTCCTGCCCACCATGTTAGAAGGTCACTCTCTACCCCTGTGATCATCTCCAGGAGCTCTGAGGCTGTCACAAGGTCTGCTCACCCACCCTCTGACATCAAGCTGATGCTGCAAAACTACCAGCGGGCCCGTGAGGAGGCCAAGGTGGAGATTGCTCGGGCCCGGGACCGACTGCGGGAGCAGACTGAACAGGAGAAGCTGAGAATCCGCCAGCAGATCATCTCTCAGCTGCTGAGGGTGGGGAGTGGGCTGTGCCTCTGACTTCAGGGGAGGCGTGCAGCCTGAGGCAGACCTCGGGCTGGGCCAGCATCCACTGTGGCCTCTTCCTGGGGCATAGTGCTCGGAGAAGGGCATGGAACCCCTGCTGCCAGCTCAAAGCTTATTCTCTTCACATGTCATCCTCACCAGTGTCCTTGGGCCAGTGTCTGGGAGGAGGCAGCTTTGGGATCCTGTGAGGGTTATGGGGAAGTATGAGGAGTGATGACTTTGGAGTGTATAGCTGAAGAGGGGAGTGGCTGGGAGCTGTGGAGGTGAGAGGGGTAGCTATGGGGTAGAGGAGGTGTGAGCCACTAGGGTGTGTTAGTCAGAAGCTGGTTAACAATGTGTTCTGCCTTTCCCAGGAAGAGGAACAACTGCACACTCTGGCCAACTCTAGTCCCCTGTGCACAAGCTCCAATGGAAGCCTCTCTTCTGGCATCACTTCTGGCTACAACAGCAACCCAGCCTTGTCGGGCCAACTCCAGTCCCCAGACAGCCTGGTGAGTAGGCCACTGTCCGGGACAAGCCTGGAGGCCAGGCCCACTGAGGTAGGAGTTTAGACAAGAAGTTCTGCTTCCTGGAGTCCACTGCTGACATGAGCCCTTTTCATGTGCTGTGGCCCTTGAACTTTTCTTTAGTTCTGTCTCCTCCCTCCATTTATTTATTCAACAAATGTTTATTTTGTAGGCACCACTTTAGGCACTGGGAATATAGCAGTGAGCAAAACTGTTATTTTTGTTGTTATTTAGGTTGTTATTATTGTTAGTTGCTATCAAATGGATTCCAACTCATGGGAGCCCCATGTGTGCAGAGTACACTGCTCCATAGGGTTTTCTATGCTGTGATCTTTTAGAAGCAGGTCGCCAGACCTGTCTTCTGAGGCGCCTGTGTGTGGGTTTGAGCTGCCAGCGTTTTGGCTGGCAATTGGGCATTTAACCTTTCGTGCCACCCAGGGACCACTCAAGGAGATAAATATTAAACCGTTTATTATAATTTAATTATTGTTGCAATAAGTTCTATGAAGTAGGGGTGCTAGCCAGCACAAAACAAAGATCAACCTAGTCTGGTAGGTCTGTAAAGGTTCTCTGTGAAGCATGTATTTAAAGTGAGACCAGAGGGATAAGAGGTAGCTTTTACCTCAGTCAAAGCTTAGTGGCAGTGTGCAAAAACGGCAAGGAGGCCACATGTTCTGACCTCCTCTAATCCCACAAGAGGAAGACAGGATTACCAGCAGTAACCCAAGGCCTATGCCTGCCGGGCCAGACATGCTGCCTCCCTCCAGCCCTTTCACCAACCGTTCCTCCCAAAGCACCCACCACCTCTCTCCTGGGTTCGCTAATTTGCTGCAGTGGCCACACAGAGCTCATAGATTATGGGGTTTATTAGGGAAGTACCACAGGCTACAATTTGAGTTCAGGAAAAAAAAAAAAACGCTTAGTCTCTCTCCCAGCCCACCGTCCCTCAGCCAACAGTCTCTCACAGTCTCTTTCCCAGCAGTGCTGGTCCCTCGGTGTCTCACTCAGCAATGCATGTCTCTTGTGTCTCTTTCCCAGCAACGCGGGTCTCAGGAGCGTGTGTCTCTTTCAGCAGCACGTCTTCCTCAACCAGCAGTCAGAGAGTTCTGCCTCTAGGAGGCCTCCTTTTGAGCCCGGAAGAGTGGCCAAACTAGCCAGTCATAGCATCAGAACTCTAAGCACATGAGAGAGAGTGGGCACCTCCCAGAACATTGTATTATGCCACGCCCAACAGAAATAACCCAGGTGGATAACATTTACAATCAGGAGCTCCCAGTTGCTCATTCCACCACTGAGTTTACAATGACTTATGGGTAGAAAAGCCATACTAAGTAATTTACTATACTGCACAGTGGGTGTTGGGAGAGATGTAGGGGTGGGAGAACAGCCTTCCAGGGAGAGAGCCCAGCAAGAGAGACCTCAAGGAAGGAAGAATTAGAAGGGTGTGGTGGTAATGTTTGTGTGTCAACTTGGCTGGGCCTGGTTGAGTGGCTGGGAAGCTGGTTGTAGTTATTCCCCATGATGAGACTGGCAATCAACTCCATGGTGGGATCTACCACAAGCAGCTGAGTAGCTGCCTTTGGGATGTGATCTGCTTCCTGTATATAAGACTACGACTTGGGAATGGTCTCTAGCTTATGGCACGCTTGGACCCTACATGTAGGTATATCGTTTTTCAGCAGCCTACCGTGCTCTGCCGACCTGGGGACTTACAATGGACTTGAACTAATGGCCTGCCATGTGGTTTGGTAACATCGGGACTGTGCCATTTTATTTGTCAGCCTTGGGCTTGGCAGTCTCAGTAGCCAGCAGCTGTCTGAGTGAAGAAATGCCTCTAGCTCCAGTGGGCCTGGAGCAGGAGGCAGAGCTGGACCCCAAGGTTGAGGGGCTTTCACCCAGCCCCTAGAGCCTGGCACTTTGAACTTGGACTTAAAGCCTCCAAACTGTAATAGAATAAACAAACTCCTGTTTGTTAAGGCCATCCGATTTGTGGTATATTCTTGTCAGACCAGCACCAGGTAACCAGAACAAAGGGCTAAAAGAAAGCTAGTGTGATTGTAACGTAAAGGGTGATATGGGAACACAGACATGAGACATGACGAGCAAAGGCCAGACAGGTAGACTGTATTGAGAATTCTGCTCCCTTTCTAGTTCATGTGATCCTATTGCTCCCCAAACAGTGATAAAAAGCTGCTGAAAAGCTTTTAAACAGAGGAGTGAAATAATCAGATTGCAAGGGAAAGGGGGCAGGAGGGGATGTGGAGAGCCCCTAGGTGACCACAGGGAGGTCCAGTAAGAGGATGCCTGCTGGGTTTGGGTACGGATAGTGCAGATGAACAGATGTGCATGTAGTGGAGGGAGAACATCTCCATGACGTAGTGATTGGAGGGAGGAGAGGAAGAGTTGAGAGTAACACATGTCCTTGGCTTGAGCAACTCAAGGGGCAGTAATGCCAACAGTGAGATAAGGGACTGGAAGAGGACTGGATTTGTGGCAAAATGGCATGAGTTTAGTTTTGGACGTGGGTTGCAGGTGCCTCTGAGAAATCCAGGTGGCACTCTTAGGTAGGCAGTTGCAAATACAGATCTGGAGCTCAGAAATAAGGTCTGGCTGGGGATATAAAGTTTGGAATTCATTTTGTACATAGAACTTCAGATGGTTAAAAAAGCAGTAGCAAAGGTTGTGATACTTGTTTTATAGTAATTTTGTAATTTCAGTTTGGCTTTCTCATCTTTGAGCTAATTATTAAGAAATATCATTTATTTTTTAAAAAGTAATTTATTATGGTTTAGGTGAAAGTTTACAAGGCAAGTTAGGGTCACCTTTGACAATTTTTGTACAGATCGTTTCACACCATTGGTTGTAACTTTTACAACATATCATCATTCTTTTTACTTCCATTCTGTTGGTTCTGCTTCCATTGATCTAGCTGTACTGCCCCTCCCTGCCTTCTCTTCTTTGCTTTGGGGTAACTGTTTACTGTTTGGTCTAATTCATATAGTTAATTGTTTGAGGGAGCATATTACTTATGAGTGACAAGGAAATATAATTTCTTAACAAAAAAGTTTTTCTAGTAGAAAAAGCTGTGTTCTCTGATTTTATTAATTTTTAGTTTGTCTGCTCTTAACAACAACAATCAGAATTTGATTTCAGAGAAAATAATTTTTTTATAAGTTAGTAAGATTTTTATTGTACTCATGAATCATGGGATTTAATTTTTTTAATCTTCATAATGCACTGTTATCTCCATTTTTAAGTATATATTGTCTCATTTCTGGTACTTTGAAGATTTGTAAAAAAATAATTTTGATGATCACATTTATATCTTTAAATAGTCTTGATTTGGCAGTTTTAATTGTCTTTCCACTTTATCCATAAAACATGTGGAAATCAGTGTGCTTTCACTGTCGGTCACCCTCTCCTTTCTTTGCTGAGAAGGTTGCATTCACAGTGTTGTTCTAGACTAAATGCTCACCTCCGGTCCTTTGCCATTGATTCTTTGTTCTTCTTTATTAAGTCTTCCTTGAGTAATTTCTCTTTTTTAATTGAAGTGAAGATACATACAATGAAACATTTGCTGATTCAATTTTTATATGCGTGATTATAATTCAGCGGCACTGATTGTATTCATCTTACTGGGCAGCCATTACCATTTTCCTTTTCCACGTTACTCTGCCATTAATAGGAACTCACCACCTCTGATGCAGTTAGCCCTCTTCTCCCCCATTCCTTCTTCCCTCCCACTCCTAGCAACCACTAATAAGCTTTGGTTGCTGTATATTTGCCTGTTTCACATAAGTGGAATTATATAGTAGTTCCCCTTCTGTGACAGACTTATTTCACTCAGCGCTATGTTTTCAGGGTACTTTCATGTTGTAGCACCAGAACTCTATTTCTCTTTATGGCTGATTACTATTCCATTTTACCTACAAACCACATTCTGTTTATAATGTGTTGATGGACATTTAGGTTGTTTCCACCTTTGGGCTATTGTGAATAGTGCAGTAATGAATATTTTCTGTTTTTGATGTTTCTGCTTTTAATTATTTTTGGAATATACCTAGGATTGATTGCTGAGTTATATGGTACATTGCTGAGTTATATGGTACATTCTTACACAGAGATGAATTCTTATATATAAGGATACTAATTTAATAATTTATAAATAAATGAAAGTTTGGGTATAAATTTCTTAAATCAGTATCCTTATATATAAGTACTTGCCTCTGTGTAAAAATGTCTGTAGGTTACATTCCTAGAAATGAGAGCACTGGGTCACAGGGTGATGTACATTTTTAATTTTTTTAATGCATTTTATTGAAATATAATTTATGTATAGTGAAATACACAAAACTAAAGTGATATGGGTCAATGCATTTTTTTTTTTGCAGTGTTCCCTTCTTTCCCCTCCCACCCCTGGCAACCAACAAAGAAAGTTTCCCTCCATATATAAACCTTTCCTTGACCTGCCACAACAACGAACTAATACTGTATTTGTCCTTCTGTGATTGACTTATTTCATTCAGCATAATGTCCTCTAAGTTCATCCATATTATGCAGTATTTTGCAGACTCTACATTATTCTTTAGTATTGCATAGCATTCCATTATGTATATGTACCATAGTTTGATCATCCACTCTTCCACTGATGGGCACATAGGTTGTTTCCATCTTTTTGCTGTTGTAAATAGTGCTGTGATGAACACAAGCATGCATGTATCTGTTCCTATCCTAGTTCTCACCTCTCTAGGATATATACCTAGTAATGGGATTGCTGGGTCAAATGGTATCTCCAATTCCAACTTTCTAAGGAATCACCATATTGCTTTCCACAGTGGTTGTGTCACTTCATAGTCACATAAGCACTGTATGAAAGTCCCAATCTCTCCACATCCCCACCAGCATTTGTTATTTTTTGTCTTGTTGAACCTTGCCATCAGTGCTGGGGTGAGATGGTATCTCATTGTTGTTTTGATTTGCATCTC